TACTATTTAATAATAACAATTTTTATTATCTATTTTATCACATATCAGCATAACAACTTAATTGAAAACAGAAGCTTATGAATATTTGAATTTGCATTAAGTGTTTACAAAACAAATGTGATCTTTTGTACAAAGGAGTTTATCAAAATCACAAATTTGCTTAAATCTAAATGAATACTGAATATTGAATACTGAATATTCACAATATTCTTTTCTTTCTTTTAGTTTTTTTTCCCCAAATTCTAAAACTTTTTTCATTTTTGCAGTTTTAAATGGAATATTTCTTAAAATCCAGATTTTTCATTGTGGTTTCACACTTGTGGTTTTTAAGAATGTACAAGTAAAAATACAGTAAGAAATAAAATAATTTACCTTAATTAGACAATTTCTTGGCCTTTTCCTCCACTGCAGCTTCACTGATCTTCACTCAAAGGAAGTCACTGGTGACTATGTTGGCAGTCTTTTCTGTGGCTGACTTAAAAGCAGTGCACAACGCGTTGCTATACCTCTTGTCACGCACACTGATCATGAGACTTGTGCACTTGGGCCAAATGTCATGGTCTCACAACAAACTTTCAAATCTCATGCAAATGTCAACCAAATGTTATATATTGGCCTTATTGACCAATATACTTTACTGACTATATTTACTTTATTTTGAATTCGTTGCTGTGGCGATACCAAATGAAAATCTAAATGGCTGAACGCTCCCATTTTGGTACTTATAGATTAGTCAATAAGACCAGCATGGGCAGCTCCTGTAATTGGTTCGTTAGCTTTGCTGTTTTAGCTAGAATTCAAAATGTTCAAGAGAAAGTTTAGTGGCGTGCATTCATATTAAACAAAATTAAACATTGAACACTGAATATTATCTCCTGATTCAGTGCATGAATTATTGCAATCTACAGGAGGGATGGGATTTGAACATTTATATCAGAGGTAAAAGTGACAGGATCAGGCACACATTCATTAATTGAATCCATTATGTAAATCATCTGCAGTACATGGAGCATCTGTACACTATAAATTATGATCAACTTAAGAAACTTATATATGCCCAAATTTATTAGTTTTCTCTAATTATAATTAAAATTTGGTTAAAATATAAAATTTTGATTTAATATTAATAAAAAAAAATTTTCCCAAAGACAAAAATTTACATTCATACATTAAGTAAAAATATTATTTATTATAAAGAGTATACACCATTTCTTTTATTTTGTTACAACTTTTTTTTTCCATTTTGGAATAACCTAATATTTACTATTACATCTAAGTATAGTTTTTACTTTTGAATAAACAAATTAGATCAAAACGGTCATATTTTACAGGATGTAACAGAATTAGGTAAGTGAGGCAGGTTCTATATTTAAAAAGCTGGTTGGTTTCCTGCACTGATCTAGATATAGAACTGGATAGCCCATAGAATTCTAAACTGCCAGCAGTAGATGAAGCCACCGGAAATGCTCTGGTGGCCCTTTTTACGATTCCCTACCAACAGACGGCACCGACCGCCAAAAGATAAAAACTGTCAACATGTCCTGATGTGCTGCTTTTAACTGCAAAACATCATTTGCTAAAGGATGTGACAGAACTGCCCACAGGTTTAAGTAGTGTTAAAAGTGTGAGTGTTTAAGTGCTTAAGTGTTTAATCACTGGTTGTTGCTAAGATCTCTGTTCTTACCTTTTATACCAAGTATACCTTCTTGCCTTACCATTTTAAGTATATCATTAAGTAAGTTGTGGTCTTTTAAGTGTTTTCAAACCTTTTGTAACCTTTCTGTAACCTTAACCACATGTCTTACATGTAAATGGTAAATGGTAAATGTGCAATTATATAGCGCTTTTATCCAAAGCGCTTTACACTGTGTCTTATTCACCCATTCACACACACACACCAATGGTAGCAGAGCTGCAATGCAAGGTGCTAGCCACTCTAACCACAGCCGCCCATTAATATTAATTAATTATGATTATTATTAATAATCATAATTAATAATCATATGTATTAATATATACTTAAATTATATTTACAATTATAATTTATATTTTTTATAATATTCCTTACATGTATTTTTTATAAATCTTTTTTTATATATCTTTACATGTATAAATCTTTACATGTAAAACTGGACTACATCTCTTCTTTAAAACTTGAGATATGTACTGTATGTACTGTAAAATAAAGAAAGAAAGAAAGAAAGAAAGAAAGAAAGAAAGAAAGAACAGTGTTAAAAAGATCAAGAGCTTAACCAAGGATAAATACAGTTCGGTTGTTGGGGGCTCAATCTGTGAACAAAGATTGGTCTTCTGTGCATGAGTCAGTTTAAGAAAAAAACATCATCCTTACTAGTACTAGTGAATTGCTGGTCATTCTGAATTTTCACTGTTAATATCAATACTTATCAAACAATATTTATACCAAAGAAAGAATTAAGGCCAGATCTTGGATTAATGTTTTTCTCTCTTATTTACCTTAACAATGACCCCTTCCATTATCCTTGAATGTATTTGAATACAAGCTATCAAACAGAAGAAAAACATGCAGTATCCAAATCTTTCATTGATTAATCCAATATTTAGAGCTTGACGCTCAGATTGCGCAATCTGCGTACCATTTTCTCTGGATCTATCTTTATGAAAATTTTCTGCATTGCATCAAAAGTGTATTTTAGCTCACTTGGATAGTTCACGTTTAGAGCATAGATGAGGCCCAATAACATAGCACATGCATTTGCAACTGATGGCACCTCATTAAGGACTTCCACATCTTCAATAACAATTCCAATTTCATGTGATGGCTAGAGAGGATCCTCCTCATCCCTGATGACAAACACTGCCATTGTACACCTCTCAAGCTCCGTTTCAGCTTCAACCTTCTGAACAACCTGATAAAAGACAAGAAATTTATTCAAAAGTTATTCTGATGAAATGAGTGTCCGATGCATGGAATGAATACAGATGTGAAATAACTGTTTCTTATTTGTATGAGAGAATGTACTAGTATTTAATCTCAGCATAATTAAATGTACTAGAGTGCTGATTGGTCTGAAAAAGTTAAATTGAAAAGCATGAAAGAACTGTCATTTTCTGTGAAAGATAAAAACATGTGTAGAACAGTGAGATACAAACTCAAAAGAATATTCAGTAAGCTATTGTCAATTCCCTCTTTCAACATACATATGAACACTCTGATTCTGGAGACTTCAACAAGTCAATGGAGAACTCCAAGGCAGCAACATTCGCGGTCATTGCAACATTTCAGTTCCACCTCTTCCAAGTGCTTTCCACGCCTCCACTGGTATGTTATCCGGTCCTACCGCCTTTTCTCTTTTCATCTTTTTCATCACTACCATCACTTACTCCTCCTTTATCTTTTCCACCTGTGTTTCTTCTCTCGGTTCTATAAATCTTTCACGCCTCTCATTTTCTACATTCATCAACTGCTCAAAATAAGACCTCCATCTTTCCTTTATCTCATCTTCATCCGACAATACTTTCCATTGACTATCCTTCACAAGCTTTGCTTGGTAAATATCTTGTGATTCCCGGCTCTTCTGCCTTGCTATTCTTATCACTTTCCGCTTGCCTTCTTCCCCTTCTTCTAGGCTGGTATATAGGTCGTTAAATGCCATGCTCCTTGCTTTTGCCACCATTCTCCTTGCTTCTTTGTTTGCGTGCTTGTAATTTTCAATAGACTCATCACACCTGTTCAGATCCCTTTCCTTCCTCTTTTCTCTTTTCCGCTTCACTGCTTCTTGTACTTATGCATTCCACCACCACGTCTCTTCTTTGTTTCCATCTTCACAGATGTTTCACCTAATACTTCTTTTCCTGCTGACCTAAAGGTTGTGCTCAGCGCATCCCAAGTCCATTCTTGCCTCTCCTCCAGCACCTTCTTCGCAAACTTTTCTCGGAGTTCAATTTCATTCAATTTCCACCAGCGTGTTTTCCAAATCCTAACCTGCCTCTGCCTTCCCTTGGCTATCATTCCTGCTTTACACAACAGTAATTTGTGCTGTTTTGCCACTGCTTCTTTTGGCAGTACTTTGCAGTCCTGTATTTGCTGCAGCTCTTTTCTTCTACAGAGAATGTTGTCTACTTGCGAGTGGCGCCTCCGTTAGTGTACATTATTCTTCTCTTTAATCTTTTCCTGAAGTAGGTGTTTACTATCGCCAAGTGGTTGGCACTTCATCTCCTGCTTCATTTCTCACCCTGACTCCGTACCTACCCATTACTTCCGCTGCATCACTGTTTCCTTCACCCATATGACCATTAAGATCCGCTCCAAGCCATACTACTTCTGTTTCAGGTATCTTTGGCATCACACTTCCAAGCAGTCCCCAAAAGTCCTCTTATTCCTTCTTATCACACCCTATTTGTGGTGCATATGTGCAGATAACATTGATTACGATTTTATCCACATCCACCTTCATCCAGATCACTCTGTCTGATTCACGGTTCTCCTGCAGTACTCCCTCTTTCATCGCTGGACTAAGCACTATTCCCACAACATTCCTTCTGTTGTTTCCCACGTAGTACAGCTTAAAACAATTTCCAATTTCTTTCGCTTTCTGCCCTTTCCCTTTCACTTCATGCACATACAAAACGTCTATCTTCTTCATCTCCATCACGTCCACCACTTCCCTTCCCGTCATTGAACCCACCCACATTCAGGGACCCTATCAAAATGGTCCTCTTCATCTCTTTCTCCCTCCTCTTCGAGCTGATACGGTAGCCGTAACCCACTTTTCACAGCCCCACAGCGGTCGTGCTGCGTGACGCTTGCGGGGGATCATCCTAGCATGGACTGAACTTGAGTCTCTCCACATCATTTTAGTTTGGCAACAGTTCTTACGCCGGATGCCCTTACTGCCGCAACCCTCCCCATTTATCCGGGCTTGAAACCGGCGCAGAACCATCCGCTGACTTGTGTAGATCCGTGGCTGGGTTGGTCCTCATTTATCAGTATTTTAGCAAAATTACATTTATGGCATTATCCAGCTTGCTTGGATTTGAACGCATGACATTTGGAGCAGATGTCCAACACCCTAACCTCTAAGCTACTCACGGTCTTAAAAATTGTTACAATGTCTGTATTTCAATTGATTGTGTTTTCTGCACGTCTGAGTGGGTGATGGGATGGGTGTCTTATCTGCTCCTCTTTCAATCTCAGCCCACTGCAACACATTTTGTTCCTACATCTGGTTCATTATTGGAAGCTCACAAATCTCACACGCCCTCCACTCACCTGGTGGTTTGTGATTGGTTGGACAGATATTTCTTGATTTCTACCTACGACTTGTCATCCTACATCCCTGTGTAAATCATTGCCTTTGCTTTTGACTTGTGTGCATTTTGCGTTGTGTGCATCTGTCTGTTTGCCAATCTTGACTGTACCATTAAAGTTTCAGCCAATTTCTCCTGGCTTTGGTTTAGTTAGGAAGTATTGAACAGAAATGTATAAACTTCTTGATTATATTGTGCACAGTGGACAAAGGAACTTTAAGTTCTCTGGAGATTGATTTGTAACCTTGAGATTGTTGATATTTTTCCACAATTTTGCTTCTTAAGTCCTCAGACAATTCTCGACTCTTCTTTCTCTTCTCCATACTTGGTGTGGCACACACAGGCACACAACACAAAGGTTGAGCCAACTTTTATACACTCTAACTGGCTTCAGTTTTGATTTCTATATTGCCAGCACCTGTTACTTGCCACAGGTGAGTTTAAATGAACATCACATGCTTGAAATGAAATTATTTACCCACAGTTTTAATAGGGTGCCAATGATTTTGTCCAGTCCATTTTGGGAGTTTTGTGTAAAATGTCAAATTTGCCTTTTTTCTTCTGCATTTTTTGTGCTGTTCCAATGCACTTAAAAGGTAATAAACATGTGTAGACCAAAACATTTGTCATTGCAACACTTTTCTGGGAGAAATGGTGCATTTTCTGGAAAAGTTCCAGGGGTGCCAATAATTTCGTCCATGACTGTACATTTTTTATATTAAATATTATGAAAGGGAGGACGGATATAAGTGCAATTAAAGACTTTATTTGAGAGGGCCAAGCAGACAAAACCAAACCAGGAGACAGTAGCTTGGTCGAAATAACAGGCTATGGGTCAGGTGATCTACAAACAGGCATAAACTGGGCAAGGCTAGAATCAGAAACGAGAAACAAGGTCAATAAACATGAATCAAAAACAAGAAACAACTGCTTGGTAATGAGACAATACTCAATACTATGCAATGTACAAAGAGACACGAGGGGTTTAAATGACAAACAGAATACGGGGTGAAACAAGACTGCTGAAAACTATAGCAGCACACCTATGGGAAACAACCAAAGAGAAGACTGGGGCGGAGAAAGGACAAAAACCATAACAAAACCACATGTAGAAAGTAAACAAAGTCAATGCCACTGAGGCCAAAAAATCCGACGTTTCTAGTGAAAATGCTCTTTGTGTCAAGTTTACCCACCACTGAAGGACGACAGTAGTCCAGGGAAGCAATGGACAGAGCTCCAGACCTGATAAATTGATTAAAGGAAAATAAATATTGAGATTGTTTATAAAGCATTAATGAAAATCAACAGTGATATTAAAGGAGGATTAAGTCAACATACGCAACCAGATCACCAGTACATGATTTTGCTGTTAACACTATTGAGATTGTTGACAGAGTCAAAAACAGCCATTAAAATGATACCAAACAAGATTATCATAGCTTCGATTATTATCTGGACAGTCTGTGAAAAAACACAAATAAAGAGAATAAAGGAAATAAAAATGTGATTATTAATACCTCAAGGAATTTCTTATTACTATATTGTTATATTATTAAGGATATGTGCAGATGAGAGCTCAGTCAGTTTATACTTGAAACAGTCATCATGTGTTCTTAACAGGAGATCACACCATTTACAAAATGACAAAATACCCCCAGTGCTTTTGGGCTTTTAACGGTCTTTGCCATTCTAGTGTAATGGCATAGCAAGAGATTTATTTTAGGTTGGGGAGCAGTGAATAAAATAAGAGTATGATTTAAGAATTGAGAACTGCAACAGAAACTGACAAAAGATTTTTCTCTCAAGACCATACAAATGACAATGAAATGAGGTCCTTCCCAGGAATACATCTGGAATGAGATGCTCAACAAGCACAAGAATGTTCTAGCTGCTAGAACAAGCCTGTATTATTAATAAGCGTATGAGAAAGAAATCTGAATTCGGTCTTTTTTATTAACCCCACCCACTAATCATTAATATTCATAATATTCAATGTTCATTAATATACAGTAGTTTTTTTTTCAACAGACATTTTGCAAGTCCGTTTTTGAAATCAGATATTTTTAACCTGTTGACGTTTCAATTATAAGCAGAAAAAATGACTAACTGAAGATTTTATGTAATGTAACCATGAGATAAATTGCATCAGTTGTACTGACCTGTGTGTTTTCAGTAAAAGTGAGCAGTTAGAGGGTCACCAAAGACTAAGTGAACAGTGTGCCACTTTGCAGCAGGAATGACTCAGTTCTCTATTCATGCTTTTCACTTCTTACCAGTCAGAAGTCTGTGGTTTTACATAGTGAAAAATAGAAAGATATTTTGTAACAGCTCAACTGGGAGAAAAAAAGTTAGATTTCACCTTTTCAGTGATGCTACAAGTACTTAGAGTCTGAAAATAAGGAGCAAAACCCATGAAAAGTTTAATTATTTAAGTAAATGACAATCTGACACAAGAGGACAACATTAAATGGCATGCAACATCACAACACAGCAGAGCACACACTCAATTACTCACTTTAAAATTTTTTTTTTTGCATTTCTCTGTGTTTACCTATTCACCACATTTTCTTGGTATATTAAAATCCATGCAACCAAATTTTTTCCTTTTCTTTTTTTTACATGACCACTAGCACTAATAATTGAAATTACATATTTTCTAACTGATGTGTATATAATTTCATTGGTTTGCAAGGTGATTTAAAATCCTTTTAAAATATATTTTAATATATCTTTAAAATGACCTTTCTATACATTATCCACATTCATAAGTTAACAGCAGGACATCACAAGGTACTGAACAAAGTTGATAAAATTTCAACTGGAGAAAACTAAAAGGAATTGGATAAAAAGGCATGAAACCCAGCTTAGATTAAATTAGTGTTAATCATATTTTTTAAGGATCACTCCTATCCTTCAGCTTTTGATGTTTGTCTTTCACAACAATGTCTTTTTTTATATAAAACAAAAAAACCTTTTATTTATGCAACCAGGATTTATTTATTTATAATAGTTCTGATTTGTAAAGCTTGTGAAATTAACCAAACCATCTTAGTGTGTTTTTTTGCACATTAAAACATCGAGCTGCTCAAAGTGGAGAATAAACATTCAGGGAATGTTCTGTGGTTATTCTGTGTGAAAAAAGGAAAACGCTGTTAACAGCGCACCTAGAATCCAAGACAGCACTCAGAAGGTTTCTCACTTTTCAGCAACATGGAGTTTAATAAGAAGTGATGGTTATACAATCATAAAAAGCTAATTCCTTCCTGTTTTAATAATCCTAAATGGTTAGGCTGCTTTACTTAAGTGTCTTTTCACATTAACATTTCATATATTTCTCTCCTTTTAGCCTCAACACAATATTATTTACTAACATTTTATTAACATTTAGATGCACAATTATTCAGAATGCACACTAATTCACCATTTGGTTGTTTAAAATATTTCACCCTCTCTTCCAATTAAATTCTACTATGAGCATAATGTCACATACAGTATTAAACATAATGATGCAATTGCAGATAAGAGCTTTTAATAAAAAGAGGCAGGCAGACAAATCTAAATCATGATACAACAGCGGTCAAGAAACACACAATTGGTCAGGTGATCAACAAACAGGCACGATCTAGGCAAGGCAAAAATCAAAAACGAGGTACAGGAAGCAAGATCTAGGAACCTAAACAGGCACAAATGCTTGATATGGTGAGAACACTCAATCCTTCCCAAAACAACTGTGATCAAGCAGTCTCTTTATACACTGGTTGTGAGTGCATGGGAGATTGGATGCAGGCATGCATGATTAGAGTGAATACTAATTGCAGGCCACAGTGCATGATGGGAAATGTAGTCACTGGTTTGCTGTGATGTGACAACTATATGGAATATAAATATGAATTTTCCTGAAATATTTAAAGAAAAATGACCATCTATAGAAAGGAGTTAATCAAAATTAGACATTTTTAATTAAGGTTTAAAATATAAAAAGAAAAAAAATATGCAGATTTTCAGAGGGAATGCAGAGGAAAAGAAAATAAGAAGTATATTCCTGGTAATAAAAAGCATGCTTCCTCTGCTGCAGCTTTACAGCTCTTCATTCACTGGAAGTCACTCACGGCAGTTTTGGCAATTTGTTGGCAATTTTGTCTGTGGCTGACTTAATGTGGGGATCAGAACACCAGGTTTTTTTTGTTTTTGTAAGTTGCAAAACATGTCACTATACCTTAAGGAAACCTTTTACAAAGCTCATTACAAATATAAATTAATTATATATAAATATATATAAAAAAATACACACATACACACTGCCTTGCGAAAGTATTCGGCCCCCTTGAACTTTTCAACCTTTTGCCACATTTCAGGCTTCAAACAAAGATATAAAATTTAAATTTTTTGTGAAGAATCATCAACAAGTGGGACACAATTGTGAAGTGGAACGAAATCTATTGGATATTTTAAACTTTTTTAGCAAATAAAAAACTGAAAGGTCGTGCGTGCAAAATTATTCGGCTCCTTTACTTTCAGTGCAGCAAACTCACTCCAGAAGTTCAGTGAGGATCTCTAAATGATCCAATGTTGTCCTAAATGATTGATGGTGATAAATAGAATCCACCTGTGTGTAATCAAGTCTCTGTATAAATGCACCTGCTCTGTGATAGTCTCAGGGGTCTGTTGAAAGCACAGAGAGCATCTGAAGACCAAGGAACACACCAGGCAGGTGTACACTGCACAAATCTGGCCTTTATGGAAGAGTGGCAAGAAGAAAGCCATTTCTCAATGTTTGGTGTCTC